CCTGACCTTCACCTCGGTGGTTACATGTGGTACAGGAGCCTGACCTTCACCTCGGTGGTTACATGTGGTACAGGAGTCTGCTTTATACTGCTGCAAATCCTGAATTCATATTTAAGCTGCTTTTTGTTTTACTTTTATCGCTTTGAAAAGAAACCGTTTAGAAAACAAATGGCCATGAATTAAAGGCAACGTGGCTTGTGCAGAGAGGGTGGAGTGTTGCATGCGATGGTGAGTTTGAGGGCAGGGTACTAGCCTTGTGGCCTGGGCACTGTAAGATGGGACACTGGCGCTGCCATCTTACCCAGCATGCCAATCCCCAGCATGAAGGCATCCATGCCATAGGGGACCACCCGGGAGCGCCCTCTCGTGGACCCTGTGGGTGACATTACTTCCTTTGGCTGAGCCTTCTTGCACTCGACCTTTTGAAGAGACAGGAGAGACCGTTATCCTCCACAGACATACATGCAGAGACACAAACAGAAACACACATGCATACAAACACAAGTACACACACACAAACACAGATAGACATAAACACATACAAACACATACACACACAGGCAGATACAAGTTTTAAATGGGTGGGGGGGGAGAGATGTCGCACCATCTTGTTGTTGATTTCATGGAAGTGGATCTCGCACACCTTCTCCACCACGTCTTCGTTCTCGAAGGTCACAAAGCCGAACCCTGTGGAGGAAACGGAGACAACAAAGTTCATTTTCCATTTGACGATTGTCAAAGTGGAGTCTTGATTTAGAGCATCACGGGAAGCTGTGGAGGAAGAGCAGGACGTGCTGTCAGCGCGGACATGAGGTCGTGTCCCATCGGGGGGGGGGGACGCTCTGTCCTTCCACGACTGTGAGCTCTCACCTGGGGGAACCCCCCAGAACGCTGCAGTTAAGCTGCAATCCGCTGACATCATCGCATGTTCGAGGAGGGAGAACGAGCGCGTATACAAAGCAGGGTGTGGAAAAGCCGACTGTTAGATGCGCAGGTATCTCAATCCGTGGCACAGACGCATGTGGAGGTCAGGAACGCTTGTGGTTCAGCTGTGAAGCCCATTCAGACGGGACATGTGAGGGTGCCAGCTCTGCTGCCATAGGAAGCCCTGTCACCTAAGGCTCCGCTGGGTCACTTTGGGCCACAGTGCGCGTCGGATCCTCCCACACACAGCTTACACACATCCAAAAGGCAAAGAGTGGGGCGATGGCAAATCAACACGCTCTTTATAAGAAACCACGCACCAATGGACAGGTTTTCTTGCCGCCTGTGTCTCAAACGGCTGCGGCCATTTCTCAGGCCATGTCATATGCACTTTTCTATAAGTCAGGACACCGATAACTATCCTCTTTGCCCAAACCGAGGGAACCAGAGATGTGAAGCACACGTTAACGTGATGCCCAAAGGGGGCGCTGACACCAAAGCAGACAATTTACACCATAGAAATGGGGTCAAGAGTCACATCACAACCCACTAACATTTTGATGTTCGCAGGATGGGACTGTACTCAACCCAGGAGGGTTAGGGTTAGGGTTATACACTCCCCGTCGCTCAGTGACAGTGCCGCTCCACACGCAACCGCTAAGACCCTCCTTCATTGGTGGGGGCAGGTCATAGGGGGGTGGGGATTCACGGGGTGACTGGCCAATGGCTCCACCTCACCTCTGTGCCGGTTGGTTGTCTTGTCGAACATGAGCATGGCGTCATCCACCTGTAGGAGAATAGGAAGGGAGGGAGTTTGAGACTAGGCGTGTGGTCACCGTCCCTTGTTAGAGAGAGAGAGAGCAGCTAG